TATAATTATAAATAATATAAACAACCTTTTGTTAGAACAAACAAAATAACTTGAAAATTAAGTAGTAGTACCACAAAGATAAAGATGACTAGTAATAAAATGGACGCATGGAAACAAAACAGGGAAATGATTGAAGAAATAAATAAATCACTACATTTTTCAACCTACAGAGATACATATTTATATTATCATTAGGTCCAATATATAGTGGTTGTTGTACAAAGTGGCACATTTATATTTGAAAATACATAGCAGTAATGATATAAGCCATCAACAAACAAAAATCAAAATACTATGATATGCAATTTCACTAACTTTCTACATTACGAGATGTACTTCACTGAGAATTACCCTAAAGTTTTTATGTAAATCCTTCCTACAAATTATATAAAAATAATTTTTAATTTCTATTCAATATAATTTCCTATTTAGTAAATGAAAATTTTTTATTCTGTAGCTTATAAAATACTACACAGATTACAGATTTTTTTTTAAAGAACAGATAATTATAATTCTATATGTTTTAAAAATAATATATGGCAGTGATTTTCATTCACTGTTGTGTTGCAGATTAGTCTACAAAAAGTATTTAAATCTATGCATTATCTACTAGGTTAGGAAAAAGCAAATTCAATAGATGATAAGAATTTAATAGGATACTTTTACATTAATCTAATTTCCTGACATTTTTATTATTGTTGAAGGCAATTAAAGAAAAGACAAATAATTAAAAACAGATAAAAATGCAAAAACACTGCTTCATAAATGGTTGATTTATACTCAATGTTCATTAAAAAATTTTTTATTTTTTTCATTTGGCACAATGGTAGATATAGACGTTAAACCTACATTGGTAATACCTGAAATCTGTCAAATCAGACCATTTAACAGCTTATAGAAAACCATTGCAGATACTTTAGGATCATTCCAGTAACTGTATTGAGATTTTCAAGAAATGCTTCAGATTTAGAAGGAAAGAAAAGTATCCTGTTATTATCATTATGATTTAAAAATAACGGTATCCTTTTTTGAATTCATTTCCCTAACAAATAATCAAATATAAAATTTGCATTTGAAATAGGTAAAATGTACCATAATATTAAATTAAATGTACTTTTCTTTTTAATGGCTGGATACATTCCAGATGAAAAAATTAATTATATATATAAATGCCCATCTCAGAACAGGATAATGTTATGCCTTATGTTCTGAGATAAGCATTAGCACTATATGCTGCTGCTTGAGAGCCATTGCAATATGGTATAAAAGTTACAATTTTTTAATGAAAAATGTTATATATTTTGAGTTTTCTGTATGTAAATGATATTATAAAAAACAAGAGAAAAGGAGATTTACTTTGATGATACTTAATCTGCTGGATCCTCATAGGTAATACGAGCATTTGTAGAAGTAAAACCAAATCTAAGAAGCCTGAAGAACTTCAACTATGTTCAAAACAGCTAAATACAATAAAAATTAGATAATTCCCTCTACATTTTTTTTTTCAACTTCCTTTTCCCAAGTAACTAACTCCAAGAAAAGAACTCTGCATTAAATTTCTGTATTGTTTTTTTTTTTTCTTTTTTTTCTGGTGATCTGTTATTTTTTAGAACAATTTTGTAGTTTATAAATTCTTCTATAGCATTTTATATTTTTCATACTTTACACACATTAGATATTAGTTGGTCTTTCTTTAAACTCCATAGTACATAATATACTTAAATATGAGGGCGATTCCGAATCTAACCTCCATTTGTCTGTAAATAAAAAAACTTGCATAGCTTCAACAAATTTTTTATTTATACCTGAAAGGTACAGCTGTCCTCTATTTTTCAGCATAGTCACTATGTTTATTCAAGCACTTGTCATAGCATTTTAGAAATTTACCAAGCCCCTTCTGCATTAAACTCAGCTACCTGCGACTTCAATCAACTTGTCACAGCAATCTGAAGTTTCTCATTATCAGTGAAGTGCTGTGTCCCAAGCTACTTCTTCATTACAGAGAACAGACGGTAATCAGAAGGAGCCAAGACCGGGCTGTACGCGGTATGTTGGAATGTGTCCTACTTGAACTGGTGCAAAAGATCTCATTTCACTGAGCACTGTGGAGGTGAGCATTATCACGCAGGAACAAAACCCCAAATGTCAGCAGGCCATCATATTTGTTCTGGATGGCTCTTTTCAGTTTTCTCAAAGTGTTACAGTACACTTCAGAATGGATTGCTGCACCGAATTTGACAAGTAATATTTTGTTAGCATCCCAAACGCAGTGACCATAACCTTTCTCGGCGACAGAATTTCAAGGGCTTTCATCGGCTGGTTCGGAGAACCGATATGACCCCATCCATTGACTGCTGTTTTGTCTCATCATTCACATGCACAACCCAAGTCTTTTCGCCAGTCACTATTCTGTTCAAAAACTCCTCTCCTTCCATATGGTATCAGGAAAGAAAGTATAAGGCAGCACCCCTTTGATTTATTTGGTGGATATCCATGAGAAGTTTAGGTACCCATCGAGAGCAGAACTTCTTGTGGCCTAATTTGCCAGTGACTACCTAGTACAAATCAGTCCAGGAAATGTTTGGAAACTGTGTAAACTCCGAGATCGTGAATAAATGGATGTGACAGATTTTATCATCAATTTGTGTGACAAGATCATCACTCACTACTGATGGCCTCCCACTCCTTGATTCATCGTGAATGTTTGGGATCTATATGACACACAATTCACAATGAATGTCTGCTGCTGATAGTCCTCCCATAAGAATTCGTATTACTTACATTTGGCAGGATTTTTAATAGTAGCACACATTTTGTGATGTTCTAACCAGCAAACACATGGAAGTATGACACTCTCATTAGGACAGCGGGAAGCTTACTCAATCACAGATTGCTTGATGCTACAATGATTGCATTCCACCCACTACTATCAGTGCCATGCCACATCGGAGGATAATTTTCAAATTGCCTTTGCATAAATGACAGTTATTTCATATTTATTTAATATATTCTAAGCACTGAGCAATATTTTAAAGCAATGTTTAGAAGCTGTGGTTGTAATATTTCAATAATTTAATAAATCAAATTATACACATTACATTATAATTACTTAATTTCAGCTTACAAAATTGAGTTTAAGAAGAATTTATATGTAACCCATGTTTAATACAAAACAGGCAGTACTTAATAAAAGCAACTCTTATTACTCGACCATGAAAACAACAACAAAAAAACTGCAAAGAAAAAAAAGACCATGGCTATTCTGAGTGGTGTTGATCAACTAAAAAGTCAAATATTTGGTTAAAAAGAACTCCCTTTTTTTGAATAGGTATACATCCAGTTACTGTAGCATTTATTATCGCATAAGAAATATTCAATCTGGCCATGATGGCATTTTTTGCCTTATTATAACTCCCAAAAGGAAACTTGTGTTAATGATTCAGGCAAGAGCTACATCTGATATCAGAACACTGCTATAATGCATTTGTTTATACAAGGATTTATTGGAGAAGGGGGGGATTATAATGACAATCTGTACAATCTTATTACACTTATCTTGTTTCATGCTGATACATCAGTACTAGACTTGCATGCATTTACAATTAACAACTTTCACATAAAAAACTTATATATCACAGATGGCACGTAACATATGAACATCAGTCAGCATGCATTATTTCAATCCCTATGAGTTTCAAGTGCTGTTATTTGTATACAAAAGAATGCAATAAATAAATAAAAAAAATACTGTACGAAGAAAATATATTAATCAAAAAGAATAGAATAAGCCTCAAAATATTTCTGAAAGGATTTTAAAAGAAATAAAAAAGTCTGACATATAAAAGTATTCAATCACAAAACATATGGAAACGGCCATGAATTTTTAGCATTTACATTCTATAGATACATTGTAATGAGCAGTTATTCAGCAGCTCAGCACAGTACTCAATTGCAAAGCTTCATAAATATTTCCCTTGTTTGATACAGATATTTTACTTACATTCCTTTCAGCTATGTAGCATTATAAGGATACTGGAAATTTCATCATGGACATTGGATAAATAATATATAAAAGTATTTAAGATTAAACATGAGGTTTCCACAGAAATTTCAACAAAATGGAAAGTAACTAATGATTTGAACAAGAAGAATAAATAAAAAGGCAATGCCATACAGACGAGTATTACTGAATATACTTATTACTGAATTCTCCATTTAACTAGGAACATTTCACTTTACCTACTAATAAATGCAGAAATACCTATTCAGAATTCTCAAAATATATTATCATACTTTAATAAGTAAATTTTCAAATTAGATTAAATTAACGAGACACTGCTCAATACCTAATATTTATATTTATGCCAATTAAAAAAAACTCCAGATTTTTATAAATTCCACTCAAATTATTATCTGCTTATAAAAAAGGATTTTCAGTTTTCACCAATCAGTCAGTGGTTCCTAAACTGTGAGCAGCAGTTCCCCAAGTCACTTCAAAATGCTGCAAATATTTACAAAGAAATAATACTTAACTCACATAGTTTTAGAATTTGAACCATAGATGCAAATGATATTATAATATGAACATCCAATAAACATTGTATTAACCGGTTTTTGAAAAGTACCACTATGAGCTTACCAACTGAACTAATTGAGAAGCTGATCCCTTTCAAGAAGATAAAGTCAATAAGTTAGCACAGATTCAAAAAATATGAATGATATGTGATATTGATTATAATCAAATAATTACTGGACATGGGTGCTTCCTTGCATACCTAGAAAGAATTAATTTGCAAAATAATAATCTTTGTAATGCTTCAAATTTCATCGAAGACAACATGTTAGGAAAAAGCATGGCAACATAGAGGAATTCTATTGCCACAAGAAAGAATTTAAATCTGCAAAGGAGCTGATGAATTGTATAAATGGTAGCAGAACAGTACTGGGAATTTTAATTTGATGTTTGTACCTGCAAATATTTGATTTTATTTCTGCTATTAATTATCCTTTTTTTTTTTTTTGGGTGTGTGTGTATGTGTGTGTCTGTGAGTCATGTTAACCATGAGGTTGATTAGTATCAGCTATGAGTGTTGCAGCTCACTCATATATTACATTAAAACAAATTCAAAGCTCATTCCAAAATCAGAAAGCTCTGAATTTAGAAGAAAATTTTACTGAGCTATCTTTTAACAATAAACTTCAAGTAAAATTTTACAGCAAAGAATTTCCTATCTTTGGGATTATCATAAAAATACTGTGCAATGTCATGTTTTTGCAAGGCCAGGTTTTTGACAGTCACAGAGATAAAAAGCAAGCATTGTGATAAAAGTCCCTGTAGCACAGGAAATAAGGTAGCTATATCCAGTTTGGTCACCCTTTTCAAATGCAGTTATTTTATGCAATGATATGATCATTACAAATTACGTATTTTTCAGTACAGTTCATATAAATTATTTCCAAATTTGAAATAATATTTCCTTATTTTTTTTAAAAATTCAACAAACCTAACTGTATTTAGTGTGCACAACAAGACTTAATTTCTAAAATTAGAAGGCCACTATTAGTTCATTTATTTGATTATGGCAAAGCAAGCAAGGGTATCTGTCCTTGCTTGCTTGCCCTAAGGGAAGGAATATCTTCATAACAGACCTTTTGAGGGAAATGGCTTGTATTTACATTTACATATGGGGAAAACTGTGAAAATGCGCATGCTGCTGGCTTGTTCTCCAGAATTTGACCCAAGTTTAACTATCAGTGATCAGAAACTTTACCATTCAGTTGCGTGCCAGCATAGAGAAAGCCACCAGAAATAAATAAATAAAATAGAAAATAATGAATAAGTAAAATGAAATAAAATATAAATAGATAATGTATCAAAGAGTTTATATAAATTAATATTAAATAAATAAATAATAAAATAAGTGAAAGATGAATCAACTAATGATAACAAGACAGGATATTCAGGATTGATGAAAAAAAGCCTTATCAAAGAATAACACTGCTCCTATATGGAAGAGTATTCTTCATGGTGAAATAAAACTGCTTTCTCATTTTGGCTACTGATTCATTGAAAGCCTTTTTGACGACAGCAAGAGTCAGCATCCTCTAAAGTTCAGGGAACGTCAAAGAATGAACAGGAAGTTAAATGTGTGCTGGTAAAGTTCCTGTTCTTTTTCCTGATGAGATCATATTTCAACACAGAGGATTCTTCCCTTCCCATTTCAAGTTTTCCTACATATTTTGCTTTTTTGTAGAAAAGAGAGGCTCTTCAGTAGCTAGTGCCAATGTCAATTTAATCAGTAATACAATAAAGAACTGCAGTTAATGTTATTTTGGACTATAAGTGAAATTATGACTTCGTTAAAAAACTGAGAAGTACTAGAGGTAGGCTCTGGCTAAATTTAAGCCCTGGTTACTGTTTTAAGCAATTTATGTATCGGATATATTCTAATGCTAACAAAGCTGAATAATGTTATGATTAATACAAGACTATTTTTATAAATTCATCTCAAACAATATCACATCAGTTATTGATTTCCTCAAATGCGAATATTCATGTATATACATATTAAAAAAGGCATTTTCTCATCAGTTCTCCTTCAGTGTTATAAAGCTTGTTACAAAACAATAATGCAATCAAGTTCTGCTCATCAAGGAGGAAAAATACATTATCTTGAAGATTTCCAATACAACTAAAAATTTTATGTCTCCACTTTTGAACAATAACCCGGACATCTTGAATGTGAACAAATGAATACACATATTTCAACTTTGAAACATATAAAAAGCAAACTGATCTAATAAATAATGAAATATAATTATGTACATACAGTGAAACATATACCTGAACATAAATAATGGTAAAATTAATAAATGCAAATGATAAAATAATAAATGCAAAAATTAATAAAAACACTTTGAGGTATAAATGACGTATGGTTAAATATTTTTAATACATATACTTTTTTAATCATAAACACACACGCAGAACAAAATATTGCCAGATTGCCAAACATTTGAAACTTTTCTCATAACTAATGGGAAAATGCCTAAAAGCATAGTTTTTATCCTTAAATCAAACCAAACACATAACCAAGTTTATTATTTCCATGTATATTTTTAAATTATATAAATACGTCATTTTACATTAAAATATATAATTACACCTATTTTATAACCTAAATTTACACATAAAAATACATATTCACATTAAACTAATAATATACAATGTTTACATAAATTACAAAGCTTTCAAGTAAGTGCTTTCCTTAGTAGAAGAATAAAAGATTCAGTTGAATATATATAAATATATACATACATATAAATAGTTTTTAATGATTTTTTTATGTTAGTTATAAGATTCTCACTGTGTCAAAGATGTTATACTTCTTCTTTGGTAATAATAAGGTATTTCTTCATTGGGTAAATGTAAAATATATTCTCACTGTAAATATATTTTATCACTGGGTCAAAATATAATAAAATCTAAAATGCACTGTCAATTATGCAAAAAGGTCTTTGGTTAAATAATATTATTTCATAAAGATTTTCAACATTTACATAAGTGTCATTTAAACAGGAAAACTAGAGAGATATTTGCAACATATTAACTACATACAGACACTAAAACAGAGAAATATCTGTAACATATTAATTCCAAACAGATACTAATTGAACAAATATGCTAAAAACTAATATTTATAAAAGAAAATGAATAGCAGTATACATTACATTAAGTAGAACAGACTTTTTAATGAACACAAATATAACAAATATACACCTCCTAATCAATTCGATCTTCGATCGGATTCGGTTTTCTTCTTCGGTCTTTGCCAGCAAAGACCAAATAATTTAGATCTGAAAACATAAAAATATATTTGTGAGTATGAGAATATTATAGTATTAAAAAATAAATTTCAATAGCATTTACATATAATTTTCCAATATATTATAGATTCAATATACAAAGTGGTGATGGCTAATATTCATTGCACAATAAACACTTTAAATATAATAAAAATAAATAACAAAGGCAACTAAAAACGTTTTTGGAATCTTACATGAAACCTGAATATAGATATTGGGAGTAAGTTTTAACAATTTAAAGAGATAGCCTCAAAACTCAAGGAATTGTAAATATACTCAACTCCAGATTAACCAAAATTAAACTATCTCTCTATAATGTTAGTATGATTTACTATATACATCTGACAATAACTTTCTCTCTGTATTTGTTCTCATTACTTCTAACATATGAACAATTTAATAAATTTTGATTGAAGATCATTAAAATTATCAGATACAATTCTGCTATGCAGAAATAAACAGAGAGTTGATGTTAATAAAGAACTTAACGATTTTACAAAAAAGAATTAAATTTTAAATACATAAATATACATATATGTGATGAAGATGCTGGTGTCCACAACGAATGATGTAGATCAAGGATGTGAAACTCGCGGCCCACAACAAATATTTTTGCGGCCCGGCCAATATATCGGCAAATAATAATATATAATAATAAAATAACATATCGACGAAGAAAAAAATGAAATGTTTACTGCTAAGTAATTAACGATAATTTATTCCGTGTTTGTTAGATTACTCACAGCGAGCTGACCCACACACTACTTAAATTACAAATGCATGTGAGTAGCTTGCGTTTCAGCTACCTTCGGCTTGGGGGACACGTGCACTCAGAACTTGTACGCATCCCCCGATAGCCGAATGTGGCCGAACTCATGGTCTCAGTTTTCCAATCATAGTTTTGTACGATATATTGGTGCATGCACTTTGCTTTATTATTAATTATTACTTAATTCATATTGTTACAGATTTCATAGTTATTTATTTATTTAGTTTTTTTTTTTTTTTTTTTTTTAATTTAGAATTGTAATTAGATTTGCTTCATGTTGCCTTAGCAACGCAGACGATTTTTGAAAAGACAGCTGCGTTGGAAGTTAAAAATAGAACAGCGCGTGCATTTAATACCTAATAAATAAATATTTCGTAATTGCTGTTGCCATCCACAAAAATCCAGATATTTATAGATGTTTCCAGTATATTCGAGAAATTAATTATAAAGCTTATAAAAGGCGAGAACAAACAACTCATCTCAGTAGTAGCCGTAGTTCTAGCGAACTGTTTGTTTACTTAATGCTGTGATTGATTTGTAGCAATTTCGCTGTGAGATAGAATTAGATTCTCTGTTTTGAACTGATTTTGCTACGGGGTTCATAGCCACATTTTAGTTAAAAAAATAAGCACCTATAAGCACTTTTCAAGAACATTTCAAGGAAAAAAAATAAGCACCTCTCTAATTACATTATACACAACTGCATAACCTTAAAAATTAGACTTGTAATTTAAAATATGAGAAATGCAGTATTAATTAAGAGAGAATAAGCATTACCTCAACCATGGAAAATAATTACTTTTTTTTTTAGTTTTAAATAAAAAAAGTTCAATTTACAGAACTAGTTTACAATGAGAGAAAAAAAAAAAAAAAAAACTATGCAGAAGTAAACTATATTACAAAATGTAATGATGAAATTTCAGTTCAAAATAGAGAAAATAAATAATAATAAGGCACATTTATTGTACAGTCAAAAGTCGTTAATTCGGACACCCATAATCCGGACCTCAAAGCTAAAAAGTTTCTGCGCATGCGCCGCGTTGGCACATGCGCACAGGCGTTTTACGCTTGCGCATAAGACCTTGACTACTGCGCATATGCGTGTGCGCAAGTGCAGAATACGTTTTCGCCTGCGCGTTTAATGTATAATGGACGGTGTAAGCTAAAATTATCTAATTATCTATCAGTTAATGTTAATGATTGCGTTGTTCCTTAATCTTCGAATTGGATCCCGCTTATTATTTTTTGCAGACTGTAAGAGCAATTTTATAAAAGTAAACTTGAAATTTCGATTATGTCAAATAGAATTTCCGATGCTGGAACTTCCAAAGGATCTACAAAACGAAAGTATGTTTCGATGTCCAACAAATAAAAAGTGGAATTGCTCCAAAAAATGGATAAAGACATAAAAAATGTGACAGAGAGGTTAGTGAAAACAAAAAAATTTCGATTGACAAGTTAGTCGGTATTCTTGGCACAGCTATTAACGGGACTTGAACAGCGGAACTTTGTAACTGAACAAGAAATTATGTCTGTTTATAGAATTAAATAGAAAGTATTATCACATAAAACGAAGCAACTTAAACAACTTACATTGAAAGAAATGTTTAATAAAGTAAACAAATAAATATTAAGTTTTTTTTTTTTTTTTTTTTGTAAATTTTGATACCCTTTAGATCATAATTGTTCTTTATTTCATAAATTACGGTTTCATATTTTTAATTTTAGAATTTCTGCATGCCATCTTACGAAATTTAAACTGATGATCTATAATCCGGAATCGCCGAAGTCCCAACGAGTCCGGATTAACGACTTTCGACTGTATTTGCTTGGAACCTAATAATAAATACGATTTATTTTTCCACTCATATTGATATTTAAATAATTTAAATCTAAATTCTGAACATTTTCTAAATTTTCATTGTATATCAGTTTTCCCTTAACAGATATTGCAAGCAAAGTAATTTAAGTAAAAAAGAGGAACATTTCTGAAATCAGAAGACAGAAATTTGCTTCATGCAGTCATCCTTTAACAGTAAAAGCTTAACTAACCCGCATACTTGGAAATTGGCGAATATTTGGACAGTCGAGCGTAACTTGAAAAAGAGGAGCGGAAGGGGGGTAGACTGTAGCCGCTCTTTAGATTTTTCCGCTAAATAAATGCTTTTGACATTTCGATATGTGCATCATACAAAAGTAAACCAATTGAACTGAAAAATATTCTGCTTAGCAAGCACAGTAAAACTCTTTTAAGTGTTCATAAACAAATCTCGGACAGAACATCAAAATTAATTATCTCTGCAAAATATCACAAACGTTATTGCACAATACGTGTGCCATAATTCTTCCCTACGTGATATTACGCAATCTGAATCAACAGCTGGTGGTATTGGGTGTTTTTCATTTTAATTTTCAACAGACGTCGTTAAATTTCCGGAATAGAATCATTCTTTGCTTCATAGACCGCAGACACTTTAGTCCTATTCAATGCAGATTGGAAAGTGACTTAAAAAAAAAAAAAAAAAAAAAAAAAAAAAAGTCCGTTGCTTGTTTTGCAGCAGCGAACTGTAACAGTTTCAATATTCGAGATTTTGCGGAGAAAGGGGAGAACCTCCCAATCTTCGTACTGTATAATGTATTGGCCAAAAAAATGAAATTATTTTGACTATTCGATTACTTTCCCTTTATTTAAGCCATTCCGAATATTATTCCTTAGAAAGCTAATCTGTGTTAAAACACAACCATTTTTGGAAGTTTACTATACTTCAGCAGTTACTGCAACTATGTTATTATAAACATTCATACATATGCTCATAATATAAGCATAATGATCATAATAAACACAAATATGAACTGACCAAGCGGAACGAGAATGCAAATTATTAAGATCTTGATAGAAATTCAAACGTGTGTAGTATTTGGGTGGGAGGAAAAGAATGCCGAATGTACCGGAATTTTCTACTGCTTTCGCAATTCTTTGACCAATAGAACGACGGGCACCTGTCTGTACTCTTTGTGCACACCAAAGGTTATGTTAATGCAGAGAAAGGGGAAAAGCTATTTCCGGGAGTATGATTCACCATCTGACATTTCATATTAGGAAAAGAAAAGTTGTTTATTTAGTTTCGGCTTTGGTACGGGGAAAAATAGCGCGTTCATTAAAAAAAAAAAAGCACTAAAAGCAAAAAATAAGCACTAAAAACAAAAAAATAAGGGCTTTAAAGAAAAAGTAAGCACCTATAAGGGCCCTTATATTTTATTTTCAAATATAAGGACTTATAAGCACTTATAAGGACCGCTACGAAACCTGTGCTAAACGTTTGACATTTTGTGATATTGTTAGATATTTTGAAGAATATTTCCATTTGATTATCTCTTGTGGAAAGAACTTTTTGTTAACTTTTTAACGTTAACCGTGTTTATTCCAGCCCTTTGTATTCAGTATGTCTATATCAAATAAAGTGGTAGTACAATTAAACGAAAATTGCTGACGAACATAGAATATTCCAAGTAAAATGGGAATTGGAATATTTTTGCTGTGAAATAAAAGAATAAAATAATCTGCTTGATATGTAATAATACATTAATGTACCAAAGTTATATAATATAAACGTCATTACGAACAAACACAAATCGAAATAAACAATGACGAAGGATTAATGAGAGAAGAAAAGTTGAAAGAGCTCAAGTTAGGAGTGAAAAGCACAGTCCATGTTTAGTAAAGTATTGCAAGAAAGTGAAGCGGTGGTACATGCAAGCTACGTCTTGTCCAAGTTGATAGCTAAACATTCGAAAGCCTTTTACTGACGGTGATTTCATCAAGGAATGCTAATGAAAGCTGAAGAAATTGTTTGTCCTGGAAATGTGAAGGCTTTTCAATCAATTTCATTGTTCTCGAAATACAGTTGCAGAAAGAGTTACTGATTTATAGCCGCGAATTAAGTGATCAGATCAAAGCAAGATCATCTAGTTTCGAAAGTTTATTGCCTGTGACGAGAGCACGGACATTAGTGGCAAAGCTCAATTAGCAGTGTTTCTTCGTTCTTGTGACAAGAATTTAACATTTTTGAGGAATTACTGGAACTAATACCGATGCCGGTACTACCACAGGAGAAGATATATTTACTTGTGTTTTTGGACTTCTGCAGAAATACAATCTACCTTTGGCAAAATTAAATTCTGTAGCTACAGATGGCGCTCCATCAATGACGGGGAAACAAGG